GGGGGGGGGGGGGGGGGTGTGGAATTGGAATCAGGCAGCAGGAGACGACGTGTGTGGATGCCGGAGAGGAGGCAGGGGCAGGAGGGGGCCAGATGGGGCTTTGTGCTCGTGCGGTGGGTTGCGTCCAAGATCTCAGCAGGATGGTGGGGCAGGCCCGGCATCTGAGCTGGGGTTTGGCTGCCTGAGCTTGCGAGGAGGATGGGGCTTGGCAGGGCAAGCGCAGGACCCGTTTTCCTCCCACCTCTCTTGTTCCTGCTGTTGCTTTGCATGGCCGTGGGCACTGGCGGCTCCCTCCTCCGCCTGGCTGCTGGGTCCTGCCTCATTCCAGCCTTGGTGGGCGTGGGGGACAGGGAGGGGACCTGGACATCTTTGTCCCTAGGTAGCTCAGCCCTGGTGTGCAGCCGAGCCAGGGCCAGGCAGGGTGCTGGGGTACCGGCACGGGCTTCTGACACTGCTCCCAGTGTTAAAGCCAAAGGGCTCAGTGTGTCTGAGCCCTGGAGTCCCAAGATTGCCCTGGAGTCCCAAGATCGGCCCTGGGTTGAGCCTTATCCCACTCCAGCCACTTCTCTCTGAAAAGCTGTCCAGAGCAGACGGGAGACATCGGCGAAGGAAAGCTGCTTTTTTCCCCTCTTGTTCCCTGCTGATCCCCTGCTGTGCTGCAGAGCTGGGCCTTTTCCCTCTGGAACAGCTGGTTTCCATTGCCTTTCCCTGTGCGATTTCAGAGGCACCCATTTTCTCCGGTACACGGACATTGCAGCGAGGAGTACCCATCTCCAATAGACTGAGCAGATTGAGCTGGGTGTGTTTGTGCCAGACATTTTCTCCAGCCCTTAAACCACTGTTGCTTCTCCTTCCCATCTCTCTCTCTTACTTTCCCACGTGTGGCCCACGGCAGACGCCGGCTTCGCTCCTGGGGGCTGTATCCAGAGGTCTTTGCTCATCCAACTCTGCACCTTATGCCCCGCTGTCGCACATCCTCCCCGAGGTGCTGCTTCCCAGGCCACAGCCTGTTGTTGTGCTCGGCCCAGCACCTCATTTCCACAGGGTGCCAGGCAGGGAATTGGTGTCTCACAGCGTGAACAGAACTTGGGAGAGGGTGGGCAGCAGCGGCGGAGAAGCCAACACTTGAGGTTTTGTATTTAATCCCAATTTACCAGCGTACCATAACAACATAACTCCCTCCCTCTTATCTGCTGCCCTTCATCAGTGGACCTTGCCTTGTTTTACAAGGGAGGGTGGAGCGGGGCGGCACAGATGGAGAAACTAAGGCAGGCAGGGAGGGGAGGAAGTGAATTTGCCGAGGTCAGCCAGCCTCAGCGACGCCGGGAGCTGCCCTGGCCCCGCTGTCGCCGCTCGGGAGCCCCGGGCGCTGGAAACGTGTTGTGCTGACTAGCCAGAGACCTGCCGGCACCTCTCCTGCGCTGTCACAGGGCGTGCTCTGGGCTTTGCCGGGTGACGGGCTGACAGTGCCACGCCACCGTGGTGTGACACCGGCGCTGCCCCAGCTCCTGGTGTGTGCCCGTGGTGCCTCTCCTCCTGGGAGCGCGGGAGGGGAGAGCTGGTGATGCTCTTAGCGTTTGTTGGGAGCGGGCGCTGCACGCCCAGCTCCTTTCTCTTCCCCGCAGGTCGTGTGTGTCTCGACTGATCCTTGCCTTTTCCACGCGATGAGCAGGTTTTCCAGTCCCACCCAGTAAAGGACCTGTTGCGCTGCTGGGATTCCCGGGAGCTCGGGCGCAGCCGTTGCGGGTGGCTGTGGGATTACCCGTGGCGTTGGCACCTCCCTTACCTGCCCCCCCGTCTTTCCCCAGGGTGAGGGGTGCAGGGTGATGTCCCTGCCTCTGTGACTTGCCTGTGCCATGCTGGGGCAAGGGAACATGCTTGGTGTGGGGCCATACGCCAGCCTGTCCCCAGCGCGGGGTGACAACGGGGAAGGAGTTGGGGGGCTGGCTGCTGAGCCCCGCCCTGGGTTTGGGGGCGGGGGGGGGGATGGCAGGGGGGCTTTGCCCCGCGTCTAGACGGGAGCGCTGGCTGTGGGGAGGGAGCAGGCCGTCTGCTCGCTCTGATTAGCATGCTCTTTAAATAAGACTCTAATTTCCGCTGTTAAAAGAGCTCAGATCCCTTGTGCCCAGGCTGGGGCCGCAGCCAGCCCCGTCCCATCCCCCCAGCCCAGTGGGCTGGCAACAGATGGGATGGGGACTGACGGGCTACGGCACCCCGGATCGGTGGTGGGACCCCCCTGAAGCACCCAAGGGAGGGGCTTTGTGGGGTGCTGGTGGGCCTGGGTGAGGGGAGGGGGCTTGTCTGCCTCCTGGGTGGAGGCCAGAAGCTTGTATTCCCCCCACCCTGTTCCCCCCAGCTCCCCGCACCCCGGTATGGCTGCCCGGCTGAGCTCAGCTCCGGGGAATGCGCTGGGATTCCTGGGCGCCATGCCAGAGCGTGGAGAGAGGCGAGGGGGGACGCCGTCCTGCCCGGGGAGGTTCTCCCGCCTGATGCCTGCCCTGGATGGGGGGGCATGGGGGGAAAGGAGAAAACCCCCTTAACAAGGGGGCTGTGTCCAGCCTGGGGTCATGGCTTGCTCCCTCCTCTGGTTCTGGAGAGCAGCCGGGGTGCTAGCACCTGGCTAGACTGGGTAAACTGGTGAATGCCCGTGAGAGGCTGTTGGGAAGCCCAGGGGACCATAACCCCTTCTCTGCCAGCTCGGGCAAGGGCTGGCCTCGCACCATGGAGCGTGCAGGGGAGACAGACGGCAAAGCTGAGGGCACTGGATGCCCTTGAGGAGGTCATGCCCCATGTGCATGGGGCTGCGGCTGTCCTGGGAGCCCCTGGAGCCCTCCCTGCCCCTGGGGATGGAAGTCCTGGAACAGAGCACCATGGCAGGGCAGTGCTGGCCGGGGGGCTCCTGGGGTCCCTGGGAGAAATCCCAGGGAAGGGGCTTTCACTGGACCTTCCCTCCCCCAGGCTGCCTCTCCTCCGGGATTAAGGCATTGGAGCCGTGTGGCTGCACTCGGACCCGACCCAGCCTATGGCAGGAGGCTGATTAACAAGGAATTAAGCCACGGGCACATCCTGGCGATGTGGGGGTGATCCGGCGCCCACCGGGGAGTTGCTCCCTGATGCAGGGACGGTGCTGCTGACGGGTACCCATCAGTGCGTGGCCACTGAGTGCCAGCACTGTGCCTGCTGCCCGGCGTTCCCGCCGTGGGCGCGTGGTGCCGGAGCCCGGCCGCCCGCGGCCATCCCGGCGGGACCCAGCCTGCCCGCGCCATCGAGCCGCTGTCCTGGCGCCTGGCAGCTGCTGGTGCCAGCCAAACCGACCGAGCCAGTCCTGCCAGCCCCACGCTCAGCTGGGAGGGAAGGCAGCGCTGCTGTCGGGCAAGCTGAGTTGGGAGCACTGGGGTTCAGTGAGGCTTGGGGGGTCCTGCTGGCCTTGTCCACGCTCCGAAAACCTCGGCCTTTGGCTCTGCAAGGAGCTGGAGGGACAAAGGGAGACCTTGCCCACCCTGCTTTAGCCAGGGTGGTCCCCACCTTAAAGCCCACGCAACCACCAGAGCCTGAAAGCCCCATTTCTATGTCTGATGCAGCCTTCCAGATGGGGATGGGGTGGAGGGAAGGCAGTGATGGTGGGGATGGAGTGGGGGTGCCCCTTCCCCCACCGGCTGGTATGGGCAGGGAGTCCCCAGACATCAGGACTGGTAGCAGTGCCAGGCACTTCAGGTGGCATGAGCAGGGTGGTGGGCCTGGGGTGCCATTAGATGGGGCGTCCTGGGTGCACACAGGGCCGGAGGACCCGTGCTCCCCACAGCAGGGACTGTGCCATCACCCTGCAACAGGCTCTCCCTGAGCCCAGGAGCTTTGTCCTGTGCTCAGCGAGGAGGAGGAGGCATGGGGAAACCCATCCTCCCCTCTCCCGGGAATGGGGACCTACAGCAGCAGGTGTCTGGGGTGTCCCCTCCTCACTTGTCCAGGGTCCTTCCTGATCTCTGCTGCCACATGGCCCCTGACCGCGGGCCGGGGGTGCTGGCTGGCTGGCTGGAGCTGGCTGGAGGTGACGCAGGTGTAACCAGAGCAGGTAGCCCATGGGCAGGTGGCTGCTGAATTATTCAGAGCCTCTCCCTGAAGTCAATGAGCTGGTGGTGGCACAGCGGGGTCAGGCCAAGGCTGTCTCCTCTCACTTCCGCTCTGCTTGGGGCTGGTTTGGCCTTGGTGCACCCAGATATGTAGAGGGATCGTCAAAAAGCTCTAATATCCCCCCAGGACCCTTGGTGGGGGGAAGCTGCTGCCCATTCCCTGGGTAAGTGGGTACTAGATGGGTCCCCATCTCAGCATGCACCCCAGGACAACTGCTCCCCAAAGCTATGCCAGGTGTGGAGTGAGAAGAGAGCCCCCGAGGGCCCAGCATGCCAACCCTCCCTTGTTGTGATGGGGACGGCCAAGCTGCCAGCAGGGTGGGGGGGACACTGGGGTCCTTGCCTCCAGCCAGCCCCCCGTGTTTTTCCCGGGGAGGCCATCCCCGAGGCGAGGAGGGGTGTGGGACGGGCCAGGGGCTGGCACCGGCACAGCAGCTTCAACCAGCATCGACTAAAAAGGAGAAGAGCAGGGAGCTGACGGCAGCGCCGAGGAATGCCTGCGCCTCCGTGCGCAGCTCCCTGTGTGCTGGGGAGCAGCTGGGATCCGACGGGTTGTCCCCCCCAACTTGGCTGCTGCTCCGGGGGTTCCCATCCCACCCCGAGCACCCGCTCGGAAGGGGACACTCAGCAGCCGTGCACCCCTCACCCACCCACCCCACCGCAGTGCTGGGGATCCCGTGCTTGTCCCTCACCCCGCAAGCCCCAGGGGATGGGGGGGGGGCTGTGGAAGGGCAGGGGTGTCCGTGCTTGGCCACACTCCCAGCTGCTGTTCCTGGCGGGGTACCAGACCCCCAGCTTGCATGACAGCGTCAGGCTGGGGCCAGCTAAATATACAGCCTCGTCGGAGCACTGTGCCCCGCCAGGCTGGGGTCATGCACCAGGCCAACGCTGGCCACCCCCAGAGCTGGTTTGGGGGGCAGTGTGCCCCTTCTGTCCACCATCCTGTGCTGCTAGGGTCTGGCTGGGTTGTTCTGACCTGAAAAAGCCCTGCCTGGTGTGAACCTCACAATCCCTCACAAGCCTTGGGGTCACAGCTTGGAGGAGCTGCCATTGCCTCTCTGGGAGGGCTGGGCAGTGTGGTATGGTGCGGGGAGCACGACAAGGGAGGTGCCTTGGGGACAACAGGGGTGTGCATCATCCGCACTGGGGGTCCTTGGGGTGCTGCTGCGCAAGGAGAGCTCTCCATAGCCCTAATGGTCCCTGGGGTGCCCCATGCCTTGGGCTGGGGTGGGTGTTGGATGCGGGCTGGTGTCTGGTGTTGGGGGGCCGCAGAGACACATAGGGCTCAGCCACCCTTGCACCACCCCCCCTCCAGGTGCGGCACCGCCAGTCGGGGCAGATCATGGTGCTGAAAATGAACAAGCTGACCAGCAACCGGGGCAACATGCTGAGGGAGGTGCAGCTGATGAACCGCCTCTCGCACCCCAACATCCTCAGGTAGGACCTGCTCCCCCGCTGCCACCCTCATTGCCCCCCCTTCTCCTTAACCTGCGAGGTTTGGAGCTACCACGGGTGCTGGGTGAGCCCCTGGGGGCTGTTCCCCACCACGGCCACCCTCAAGCCCCCTCTATCTTGCAGGTTCATGGGGGTGTGTGTGCACCAGGGACAGCTGCATGCGCTGACGGAGGTGAGAGCGGGGTGACGGCCGTGAGTCTCGGGGTTCCTGCAGGCCTGGGGAGGGAATGGCCATAGCTGTGGTGACACTTTCTTGGCCCATGGCACATGTGCAGGGCGGTGTCTACTGGGGGCCTGTGCTGTTGGGTGTGTGTGGGATGCTCTGGGATGAGAGGTGGGCATCCAGCATTATGGGAGGGGGGCGGAGTGCAGTGACACAATGGTCTGGCTCTTCCCATCAGTACATCAACGGTGGGAACTTGGAGCAGCTGCTGGACAGCCCTGTGCCCCTCTCCTGGTCCATGCGTGTCAAGCTGGCCCTCGACATAGCCCGTGGCCTGCGCTACCTGCACTCCAAGGGCATCTTCCACCGTGACCTCACCTCCAAGGTACGGGGTGCTCCAAGGCATCACATTGCCCTCCTTGTCCCATACCCATGTTGCTGCCCCAGGCATGGCCGGCTGGGCAGCAGGAGGCTGTGCTGTGCCAGGGCATCCTGGTAGCGGTGGCCAGCGAGGCAGGGCTGGTGTGGTCGGTGTGACAAGGGTCCTCCTGTGCCCCCAGAACTGCCTGGTGCGCTGCGAGGCCAACGGCTACACAGCTGTAGTGGGTGACTTTGGCTTGGCGGAGAAGATCCCTACCTACAGGTGCGTAGGCAGTGTCCATACCCATCCTTAGGGTGGGGGGTTTCCAGCCCACTCGGAGCAGGAGCTGGGGAGGGATGGACATTTAGGGTGCAGCTGGAAGGGCAGGGATGGGGGGCAGTGGGGGTGGTCTGTGGTGGTGGGGTCTCGGGGACAGATGGACATGTTTGGGGCTGGCAAGGAGGGGATGGAGGTGGGGATGGTGTGGATGGTGAGAGATGGGTTCATGGGATGCGTGGAGGAGGCTTAGCCCAGGAAGGGAGATGGAGATGGTGGTACGGGCTGCCCCAGCCAGCAGGAGGACAAGAAGTGGCAAAAGGGCAGGGGGCTGTGGGTAACCCCTGATGTCCCACTGTGTCCCCCAGCGAGGGCAGCGAGAAGGAGCCGCTGGCTGTGGTGGGTTCCCCGTACTGGATGGCGCCCGAGGTGCTGCGAGGGGAGATCTACAATGAGAAGGTGAGGCTCCATGGCTGCCACACATGAGGCTTTTTCCAAGCTTGTGCCACTGGCGGCTTGCAAGATTTGTGGCCCTGGGGGCGGTGGGACACATGGAGGGGAAGAACTGGACATTCCTCAAGTGGCAAGGTGGCAGGGCCACCGGTGGGACTCCGTGGGGAGGAGGAGGGGCTGTGTGTTCACAGGAGGGTGGGCACGTCGCCTTGGGGCTGCAGGCTCCCCCCCAAGTGACTCCCTGCTCTCTGCAGGCCGATGTGTTTGCGTACGGCATCATCCTGTGCGAGATCATCGCTCGAATCCCTGCTGACCCCGACTACCTGCCCCGCACTGAGGTGACTCCCTGGGGATGGGGACAGGGATGGGGTCGGGGACAGGGAGGGAGGGCAGCTGGGACTGCTTCCCCAAATGAGGGGGACCATCCTCCCATGCTGGGCAGAGCCCCGTGTGCAGGATCTGCCCCACATCTCGGGGCAGGGATGCTGTGTCCCAGATGTCTCCTGTCAGCAAGTGCTGCTCCCCAGGGAGGGATGTGCCTTGGAGCCTGGAGTCGGCCTGGGGAGGAGAAGGGGATGGCAGCATTCGGGCAGGGAGCGGGAGGGGTTTGTGTCCCAGCATCCCCCAACTTTGCCCCAGCTTGGGGTGACCCCAAGGTCTCCACCTTGTTGTGTCCCAGCCGCGGTGCTGCCAGGTCTGCACCCCCGAGTGGCACGCTGTCAGTGTGGGGATGGCCACCCTGGATCCCCATGGTGCCATGTGGTGCCCCAGGGCAACTAAACTCACTCTTCCTCCTTTCTCCTTTCCCTGGTGCAGGATTTCGGCCTGGACGTCACCACTTTCCGCACCATGGTGGGGATCGACTGCCCGGCCACCTTCCTCCAGCTCACTTTCCACTGCTGCAGTGTGAGCCTCCCTGTCTCAGCCGGGGCGGGATGGGCACCCCTGCCTTTGTGGGCACCCTTCTGGGGGGTGTTGGGGCTCGGGGAGGTGGTGCACAAAGCTCATTGGTAACCTCTTCTCCCCACAGATGGAGCCCACCTCCCGCCCCTCCTTCCTGGAAATCACGCAGTGCCTGGAGGGTGTCCTGCAGCACCAACCGGGTCCCAAGGGCACCGGGACCACCCTCTTCAGTGGTGGGGAGAGTCTGCCCACGCCTGGGACACCGGCCACGCTCAACGGTATGTGGGCATCTCGGGGGGATGTAAGGATGTGGGGTGTCCCATCCTTCCCTGGCAGCTGTAGGGGAAGGAGACATGAGTTGCATGAGGTCTGCAAGATGGGGCCGGTCACTGTCACCCCCCGCCCCGGGGTGCACCCTTGGGTTGTTGGGTGCCCAGCACCCCGTGGCACCCTGCACCTGGAGCTGCTGGCAGCTGGTGACCCGCTCCTGTCCCCATGCCCAGGGGTAGCCGGGAGGGTGGCCAGCCGCGCCGAGCAGTCACCCCTACGTGAGTTGGGGACCCAGCACCTCCAGCCGGACCAGCGCCTGTCCCGCAGCCAGTCCGACGTGTTCCCCCCGAAATCGCCCACCCTGCTGCGGCCACCAGAGCCTTACGGCGGGGCCAGGACCAAGGAGATGTCCCCCCGCGTCAACCCCTTCTCCCAGCGCGAGGACCTGAAGGGAGGCAAGATCAAGCTCTTTGACACGCCCAGCAAGTCGGTCATCTCGCTCACCTTCGACCTGCCGCCCCCGGCCCCGCTCCAGCTCAGCACCCCCGTGACGCCCGAGCCCACCGTGGAGGTGCAGTGTGACTTCTCGGCCCCCACCGCCACCCCCCCCCGCAAGTGCCACTCGCTGCCCACCTCCCCCGCGCTGCCCCGCCCGGGGGGCCCGGAGCTGGGCGTGG